AATTTCCTTTAACTGGTGAGGGTCTTTCTCTGTTGTTTTGCAGGTTTCTCAGAAATTTGAAAGTGCGTTGGCTATCACTTTGATAGTTTATATTTGAGATGAACTTGTCGAAGGAATTTCGTTTTTCTTGTAAGATGGCTTGCCTTAGGACAGCTGTTTGTCGTGTCCAGGCTTTTACGTCTTCCGTTCTTCCAGTCTGATCGGCAGTGTTGTGAAGGTCGTCCCTCTTTATTTTCAGTTCCTCAAGGTATTTAGACCAAAACACTCGATAGTGTTTAGTTTTGCCTCGGGGAATAGTTTTCTTTGCACATCTGATCATAATATTCGTGATAGCAGTGCAAAGTTTGTCAGGATGTTGTTTGAAGTTGGGGGGACTTGTATGAAGTTCATTCACAAAAGGTTTGTGAATCTAGACCAATCAGTCTTCTTGAAGTTCCATGATAGCTTAGTTGGCACTTTCCTTGTCTTGCTTTTGCTGCTGATGGTAATACTAGCAATGACTGGTTTGTGACCAGAACCAGGATCGTCAATTATTTTGCGGCGTGTATGCTCACCGATGTCGCTTGAAGCCAGGAGCAAGTCAGGAGTTGTTCTGTTTTCATTGTAGTGCAAATATGTAGCCGATTCTCATTGCTGTAAATAAGTTCCAGAGGTTTGCTGTTTAGCATGTCTTCAATTTCCTTTCCAGCTATGTTTGTATCTTTGTAGCCCCATCTGGTGGAGTGGGCGTTGAAGTCTCCTAATACTATAGTTTTGTGTGAGATGTTCAGAAAGTCAAAGTTGAGACAATTCTGGGGTGGATTATAGACTGTATATATCTTGAAGTGATTTCGACATTTCCAAACATTTAATCGGATTATTTCGCATATGTCTTGCGTCGAGCCCATACTCTTGATTAGGTCGTAGAGTGAGGTGAGGCCATCTTTTACTCCAGTTAGAATTCCACTTGCAACTTGCCGGTATTTAGGTAGATTGTACAGGGTGTAACCTGGGAATTGGTAGTACTTCAGTTTGTCATCCGAAATGTTAGCTTCCATAATTGTGAAAATGTCTACATCATAGGTTTGTAGGATTTTCTGTATTTGGATCTTTTTGTCCGGAGACATTCCTCCAGCATTCCACTGGAGGATCTGAAGACGTTGTGATTCGCCCTGACGAGGGCGATTTTTCTTATAGCTTTTTTTAAAGCTAATCATAATTAATTGAAATCAAAAACGAATGCCGAGTGATAGACTTTTTTGCCGTAAGAAAATACGTTGTCCAGGGTGCACCACGAGGAGGTAAGTCTATCCTGCACCCCTATGTGACATACATACATACATTCGTACATCTAACGTAGCATCAATTTCACAAGAGTTTCTAAACCAGTCCCAGAGGTGACTGCAACGCACATTCTTCTTTCATCGACTGGCAAGCCCCGACGTGGCGGGGGCGACACCACATATCTATTGGTTTGAAGAGCTGAAGTTAATTAAATATTAGGGAGACTGATAGGTCAATATAAACTGTGTGGAAAATGTCCCTTGTATGCACTTGATATTCAGTTGAATCATGTTACCTATATTTAGTAATCTTAAATCTTTATATTATATTATATATAAGAATTTAATGTTTTTCATTCTCTTATTAGTTATCGTATTCCATATTCTTATAAACCTGATTTTATATTTTGTTGGTTATGTTTGTGTTTAGGATATTTCCTTCTTAATTTACTCGTCGTTTATTTGATACATTAATATATTTTTAGTAGATTTATACCTGTTGGTGCATCTATTTGTATTTGTTCTTTGGTATACTTGGCTGAGATTATAAGATTTATTCCCCAATCTATGGGTTTAATCATACTTCCATTCATAAATATGAGATTAGGATATTTTTGAAAAGTGACTATGTGTAAATTATGTTTCAATAATACTAATCTTTTTAATTTTATGAGGTGTCTCTTGCTGTAGTTCATTGATATATTGTTAATAGTTTATTATCATTTTCTATAGATCATTAGTTATTATGTTCGTTAATACGTTGATTTGAAATTTTCTATTTTCTCTGTATCATTCTGCATTAATTTGAAATCTTGTTGATAAATTAGTTAGATTCTGAGTAATTTTAGAGCTCTGTGAAAGATAGACTATTCCTATATCTCTGTGTAAAGGAGGACTATATAATTCGTTATTAACCTTTTTTGTGATTTCCTGTATATCTTCGATATTTGTTGTATCCGAAATATTATTTACTGATTTGTACTATTTTGTGCTTTTCGTTTTATACTAAACTTTGGTTTATTTCTTATTATTATCACATAGATCAGGTTTTAGTAGAATTAAATGGTCCTTTATTTTTAAAAGAGTATTTTTAAAATTTTACATTCCATTGCTATTTCAAATACTACGTGATAATTTATTTTTTGAAAGTTCTTTTCTTTTCTAGATTTCAAAGGTCTGTGGGACACGTCATCGCGTGCCTGCACGCCAGGATTGGGAGTTGCGGCCGTAAAAGTGTGTGCAACGGCCTTGCAAACAGTGAACACTCAGTAGCCCCTGTTTGTTTAGCCTAACCCGTCATCCTGATCACGATTAAGCTCCCTGTGTGTACACTATACTCACAATAACCCTACTGAATAAATGTGTCCCGTGCTATATATCTGTTTCCACTATAGCTGGGCCATAGCTTAGATGGTTCTGGGAGTCCGACTAGATATAGGAGAATCTGCCACAGAGATTTCTGAGTCAGTCAGGCTTTACTAGCGTAGCAATCCGCTACATGTTCGAGACTTAGGGAGCAATCCGCTACAAGTCTACAAAACAATATACATAACTAGCGTAGCAATCCGCTACAGGTCTGATTGAAAGCTATTTGGTGCCATATGTCCCATTCACTAGTTTCTACTTTATAAATTGTGTGTTTTCGTTCAGATATAATTTTGTGTTTCTTTATTCTTTTTTTGTAATTGTTTGACTGTTTGCGGTATATACTATCTAATTTCATTAATGACAATAGTGGACATCTTGCTAAATTTGGAGCAATCTATTTTTGCCTTTATTTACTCCTATATCTTTATTTCTATCTTATAAGTCGGGTGAAATTGTGTATTATTTTCAAAATACTTAGAAGCTTTTGGTCAATAATGAATACTTCTAACATATATAAAAGAATTTTAACATTAGATCATAGGCGTATAGGTATATTTTTACATTTTTAGAAGTATGGGCTAATATTTTAGACTCAAAATTTATGTTCATGATTAGAATCAAGTCTTAGAGTCTAAATATAACGCTATTCCATTTTGTTGTTGTAATTTATTAGTTGCACATCATGGTATGATAATGATTTATTTCTTCTTGATTCCTTTCTAATATTTCAATTTGGTAATAAATTTTACCTATATTGATCGGCTTATTGATTTTATTTTACCTCATTTGAAAGCCTTAAGTGATTGTTTATCGACACCTTTTGCAGAATTTTTAATTAATAGAATGTGATTGAGTGCAGGTTGTGGACGAAAATTTTATCCTTCAATATCTTCTTCCTTTTTCTTATATTTTCTTTTCATTTGGCTGGTGTATCTAGAATTTTAGTTCTACTAACTTTATTTGTACACTGTTAGTTATATTTTGCAATGTCTTATATAGCCATAGAGCAATAATTTTATGATTTCATCTATTTTCTTCTCTTCTCTTTTCATTTGGTCTTCGTGTGTTAGGTAAAACCAAGTTGTTATTTGTTCGTATTTTTAGTTCTGCCATTTGATTCAATATTTAGACCTCTTTCGTTTTTTTCAATCATATTTTAACTCTTTTGTCTTTTAGAGGTTTAGATTTTAATATTGCTTGAAGATTTTGAGTTATGTGGTTTATTATTTGCTATATTTTCTATTGTGTGTGTTTAGGATGTTATGCTTGGGCCTGTAGCGGATTGCTACTTTATTAAAGCCTGACTGACTCAGAAATCTCTATGACAGATTCTCCTGACTCAGAAATCTCTTTGGCAGATTCTCCTACATCTAGACCGACTCAGAAATCTCCATGGCAGATTCTCAAACATCTAGCTACCGGCTCAGAAATTTCTATGGCAGATTCTCCAACATCTAGCTAGGAATCAGAAATCTCTATGACAGATTCTCCAACATCTAGCTAGACTCCCCTCTGTGAAGACTGAAGTCAACTAAAGGGCTGATGATAACAATCGAAACGCCTGTCATTTGATATATTAATAATAATAATAATAATGATTGGTCACTGTTTGTACGGTCGCTGCACACAGAGTTGTGCGGCCGCAACTCCCAATCCTGGCGAGCAGACATGTAGGCATACGATGACGCACACAGCGATAACGTGTCCCACAAGCCAACCATATGCTTATTGCTGGTTTAGATGTAAAGACAGTTGCACTGTTTAGTTCTGTTACCGCGATTATAGGTATTAAGTTTTATGTTTGATTATGTATACTTTAAAATTCTATGGGTAATGAGAATGATGCAGTAATATATTGAAGAGTAACCTATATTTTGTAATTAGATTCGGTGGGGCTTACTTGAATTACTTCATCTGCATGTGTGTGAGAGGAAGTATTTCATGACACCTGCTTTGTTGTTGCTTGCTTTCATTATGTTGTTTTATGTTCTCATAAAAGTTTTATTATAGTGATTACTTGGAGATGGATAAAAATGATTCAATTTAATTTATGCTGAAGGTTCATTTATGACAGTTTTTAGATTACGTTTCTTTGTAATTATATTATGAGTGGAATGTTTGGGCCAATTAGTTGCGATGTGAATCCTTTTGTGGATAAAATTAACAAAATTTTTTAATAAAATTAGAAAACTAAAGGAAAAGAATTATCTATATCTTCACACAGCTTGACAAATAAGAATATTTGCTTGTATATTTCCTATCAATGAACTCTCCGAAACAAATTTTAATCTAGTAAACGTTGATAGTGTTACATCGTTCTAATTAAATTCAGGGTGACCAAAAATTATGCATACACGCATAAAATAATTGTAAACATATTGTTTATTGTTATTTCATTATTTCAAAGGCGTGAAATATTTCAACGTATCATATCATTTTTATTTGATTAGTATATTTTTTATAATTGGAAATAATCCATAACTTAACTGTTTGTGTTTTTCGAGTAGATTCAGTCAACTTTGAAGAGAGAAAATTTTTTCTAAAATACTACTGGAGGTATGAAAATGCAGTTGAAGTGCTGTGACAATATAGGAAGGAACTTCAAAGAAGACCCCCAACTCGAGTTATCATCTTTCGAATCAGAGGTAAGTTTGAAGCTGATGGAACTGTAGAGAACGTTCACAAACAACTCTCGGAGGTCTGTTTGAGACCAAACAGTGAAAAAGCATATGTTTAAACTTGTAAAATATGTTTTTCGCTTTTGAAATAATACATTTTTAGACCACTCTGTATATGGCTCATCAAAATTTGACCATTTTATGCGAATCTGCGCCATTTTAAACTTCAAATTTTGGTTATGAAATTTTGACGTGTCGAAGGTTTCCAAATCTTTACCTCACATATCAATTAAAACAAATGCAACTCATCACTAGAAAACTGGCGATTTAGCATCTGAATCACTGGGAATCCACGGTTGCACTTTGAAAAAGGAAACAACTACGCCAATGGATCACTTCCCAATACTTCTAAATATCCCGCTTGCTTAAGTGTTATGCCGGTTTCAACTGCACAGCAATTCTAACTAGAAATTAATATTTAAGACTAGGTAAACAAGCTTTCAGTCACTAAATTTCTATACTATTCAGCATTTCTTGATTTTCAATCATTTCTTCAGAAATATGGCACAAAATTATAACATTTGTGAACAGGTCATATAAATTTGATATTCACATTAGTCTTTGCTGTCAATCATTGGCTAATTGGCAGGCCATTTCACCTAATATTACGAAATGACGCAGATAAACAAGTCGCCATTTCAAATATTAGTGGCTGGTCGAATCCGCTTTTTATTTATGGGAATATTTAATTTGCTCTGAGTGGAGATCAGTAGTTCAGCTTTTAGGACAACTCAGAAATTTGTACGAATGGGGAGGAGATTAGTGTCACTTCAAAGTGAGAAGTAAGTGGGTTTAATTATTCATTCTGTATCTCTGTATAGGGCTATCAGGCTGAACACTACTATCCATGAAGTAATATCTCCAGTATGAAGGTAATTCTAATAAAAGTATTATTCCTTCAGACCATTAAATTAACGTGATTTAATCGATAAACCTCTTAGTTAGATAGATAAAGCTTAGAGGAAGTTTAAAAAATTGACAGCTGCAAAAATGAAAAAAACAATGACTAATTTAAAACAAATTAAAATTAACTATTTCCCATGAATTTTAAAAATAGAATTTAGATTCTATATAAAAACTGACCATGCTTATGTAAACGAAATACATTTTATGTAAAATAGAATTAATTTGCGGCTTACTGGTCGAAGAAATTTCAAATGGTTTGGAATGCGAAGAGGTGCTCTTGATCGCAGAGAAAATGTTCGTCGTGATTTCAGCGATCTCTCAGCAGACCAACTATAAATTGTCATTATTGTTTTGTGCAAGCCTGATTGTATTTTAATGATCTATTGGCTGAAGTGAATGTCATCTATTCCATAGGCTCTGTCTCTTTGATATTGTTGGGGGAGATAATCAGATATCTCAAACAATTTCAAACAGAAGAATTTAGCCACAGAAAATTTTCATCGTTTAGTCAGGGCTTATTTAAGTGGTTCCGACAAATTTTTTTTTCCATGTCAATTGAATCGATGAATGTTACTTAAACCTTTTTAATGAAAGCAAAATTTAAAAATATATAAAAGCTAGAATTATGAATATTTTTATTTTCTTCTGTTATAAATACTACCATTTTGAAGGATATCTAATGTTTTGGACTTTGCCTTCGTAAAAAACAAAGCAGATTAACGATAATGTGACTATTTTCTGCTTTTGGTCTGTTAGAAATTCGTGTATATTTGTGTAATTATACAATGTGATTGTGATAGGGATTCAAAATCTCAAAATTGATCGATTTGGCGAATTGAATGGCACATTTTTGAATAATTCTACTTTAACAATACAATTATTTTTTAATACGACTTGTAAAGAATTGATTTATCTCATGTTATAAATATAAAGGAGTTAAATAATAAGGACAATATTAATAAACATAACATACTAAATTTTTTAGATTAATTATTTTGAGCAAATCCCGTCAAACGTGGAAGTGCCAACTTTTTCGATATTGCAGAAAACTACTTTTTCATCAACTGCAAAGATAAGGCAGGCATTCTTCAGTTAGATTTTGCATTGATCAGGCGATTAAATAAGCCTTTCATTCTCTGTAAGAAAGTGTTCAAGTCTTGTGCTACAAGTTATGTCATTTTATTACATTAAAAAATTGCGATATGCAAATCAGCGACTCAGAAGTAGAAATGAAGTTATTTGAATAGTATCACTTTCCTTTTGTAACTTAAGGCAAAAATCATCTATATAAAACCCTATTACTGAGAATTCGTGATAATTCGCAATTCTTGCAAACTGTCGTATTCTCAATTCCACTTAGGCATTATACGAGTCGCTTCAAAAGATGTTCTAAGCTCAGTCAACAATAACCTCCTTTTTGGTTTAGGATAGCCAAGCCATAACTGTGTCTCTTTCATAAACATCGGATCTCACTGACCAAAATGTTGCTACACATTGTTAATGACGAGAATCCTCGTATCATTTGTGCCCTCGAGATCTATGCAATCTTGCACAGATCATTATCGCAATCAATACCTATAAGGTCAATAATCGATTCCTCTTTCGATTATTGATTTTCGTAAGACATAAGTGGCCAATTTAATGCTTATGATAACTATTGATTGAAAAGTTTCACTAATGATTACTTTTTGGTGTCTGTTTCTACCTGAACTGAAGCTAAACATATTATATTGATAAAACGCAGATTTAAAAATGGCGTTGTATCTCGTTTTTATAATGAGTGTTTCGCAATTTGAAGAAATTTTATTCTGTGTAAGGTAATGCGCATTATCCAATGGTTAGAAAATGGATTTTAGTTAGCAATTTAAATTGATGAAAATATTTGATTCCGTGCAAAACGATAGATTAGCAAAGTGGGATGTTTCGGAAATCTCTTCATTCAAAATTCTAAGAAAACGACCTTGTCTTCGAACAACTAGAAAACTACAAGGGGCAAAATCGAAAGCTCATTCAATGAAATATTTTTACCAAGTGGAGAACAGTAGAAGTAGTGTTTCAAGTAAGTGATTTATCAAGTTTTAAAATTATGTGAGCCTTGGCATTTTGCTACTATGAAATACAGCACTGTCAGTCGTTCTTGCTTTATTTACTCTTACCATTTTAATGTCTTCACTTAATCATAAATGTTATCAATTTCCACAAGAGACCCTGGTAAATCTTTCTCTATTTTCATTAATAATTTCTATCCCAATTTATCGGAAATCCTTAAAATATTGAATTTTATCACAAAGGTCCTATTTGAATGTATTCTTTTTATTGTTTTTATGCAAAAATTTTGCAATTCCAATCTTCAATGCTATTGTCAAATCTTAGCTTAGGTTAAACACAACTGTGAACAGTTATATCAGGAACGGAATAGCATAATATGATATCCTGGTACGACTAAATTTGTGTGCTTCAGCAAGTTAGGGGGGATAAAATAGGCATTTGTCCAATGTGCTAACAGTGTTTGCATAGAAGCATGAGAAATTTAGTTAGTTTCAATGTTTAAGAAGAAGAAGAAACATATTTTTGCAGGCAATACTACCTTCATATACAAAAGCAAAAGCTCCTTTTGAAATGGGTTTACTGTTGTGTATTGATCTTGAAATAATTAAACAGATTTCAAAGGGATGTCAAGTACTAGGGAAATGGAAATCAATTAGCATTTAATTGAGGTGATTTGCAAGTACTAAGGCAATCACAGCGAGCACTTCTGAACATGAGACTGAAGTAGTCGACGATGTTGTTGATCGGTTTGAACAGGAAGTTGAAACATGTGGTGATTTAGTAGAAGTTTTACCAGAAGATTTAGCAACGCATAAGCCTTTATCGCATGCCTTATATCCAGAAGGACACATAGTACATTTTGTGCCACTCATGTACGGTTTTTGTCCGTTAAAATTTCCCCTAAATTTAAAAAAAAATTGTTCAAGTTGGAATTGGAATTCTCGTTTATTAGTTAATAATAATGTTACGAATAAATACTTACGCAGGACTGTACTGACAGGCGACAAAGAAAGCCGAATTATATGTATTCTCCCAAACCGTAAATGGAGAGCATACCTTATATGCGCATCCTAGTTTAAGTGACTTTGCCCAAACGACCTAATGGGGAAGAGTGTTTGCCATTGTGCACCTCAATATGTAAATTACCTGCGTATAATGCCCGCAAACTCTTGAACAATAATTGCTTCCATAACTATAATATTTCGTTTCGTTATACCACATCTCCACCATGCCATGCAAGTTAACTTCAATCTTAGTTGTCATTCCCAAATTTTGCCCTAAACCAGAATATTTTGGGTCTGTTCTCTCGGGATGCTCAAACACGCAACGATCCACCCATTCTTTGGCCAAATTCTCCAAATTGGTGCTGTAAATCTGGTATAAAATTAACAGTACAAAATTATTCAACATAAAATTATTTCGCAAGTTTAAGCGAAAAATGGTTAAGTTACCATTTTCAGCATATCTGATGCTGGTGGAGATACTCTTGAACGAAATTTATTGTGAGAAGTTAAAATCTCCATTCTCTCTCCTTCTTTCAGTGCCAATGAACAGGGCAATGCAAGTAAATTAGCGATTACAAATATGCATATCATTTTCTGATCTAAATGTGCGAACAACTGGAATTGGAGTAGAGTACATAATTGATATTTCCAAATCATTTAATTTAAAAAAATCAGTAAGATATTATCCTAAATTTGATCATTAGTGTGAAAAGGGTCATTTTAATTGATAAAACATACCGAAATAGAATTGAAATAAATTCGCTTCTAATTACTAATTAATCTAAATTTGGATTGAGTATCCAATCAGATCAATTTTAATGCATGGAATTAATCCTATAACTGCGTCAATTAAATAATAATGATAGATATGCATTTTATTGCAACCAAAATAACCGGAGTTTCATCACCAAACACTCCCATGGAATAGCAATAACAAAATTCGTACCCAAAATTAATATTATATAATGTAAAAGGGAAATTATAAAATTTAATAGACGCATATATCCTGTTTATGAAGAAATGTGACCTTTGAGAAGCACAAGTGGACATATTGACCTCAATATGGTATCAGCTCATAATGTACCATGGTTTCAAGACTTGTGGAATAGAAAGTATTCAACTGCAATTCACAGTGATCAAATCTTGTTAAAATTTCTTTAATTCCTGAAATTAATTTATTCTAAAGTTTAGTCGCTTTGTATTGCCTGTAGAGTTATATTTATTTTGACATCTGGTATCTCCATTTGTGGTGGATTTTTATGCTAGTAAATCCTTGTGCACCACGTGGAGGTAAGTCTATCGCACACCCCCCGACAAATAGCATAAACCGTAATGTTTGGAACGACACGATTAGGAGAGGAGTGAAAATTGAGCGTTCAAATTATTGATAGTCAATACGAGATCGCGAAAAATGCTTCATATCGAAAGAGTTGGTGTATATATATATATATATATATATATATATATCTGTGCGGGTGATACATTGAATGCCGCTATGTTACGGCAGTTGTATTTAAACGTACACTTTCTAAGATTTTCACTTGGAAGTACATGATGCGGACCTTATATTAAATGTATGAGTCCGGTCTTCTCAACAGATAGTGGATTCATGTTTGAAAGAAGCTAGAGAGGGATATTTCATCTCAAAGAGTATTCAAAAGTCAAAACATGTGTTTATACTCTCTCATTGAAGGTCTTTTAGCCAAATAATGAAAATAAGATTCGAATTCCTGTTTATTGTATTTCGAGTAAGGTATATTTTGTCTAGAGAAAGCAAATAACCTTATTGATGGGATTATTGACTAATCTGTCTTATTGAAAGGCTTTATTAAATTTCATTCAGGTGTATAATTGATCGTAGTTGGCTGTTCAATAAATAGCAATATTTTACTTATAGCAATGTTTCAAAGGGCTCTTCAGTATTAGGCCAATATCCGTAATGAAAACAGGTTAAGGTCACCATAACGTAAACTTGCCTATCAAAGATACAGTCGGTTTGCATCCAATGGTAAATATTACTTTAGAACTTCGACCATTTATTCTTGTATTACAAAAGGTTGTTTGGTCTCTATTAATGTTTAAAACGTTTAGAAAAGGCGTGTTGGCATACTTTTGAAAAAGTGCAAGAATTGGAGATTTAATTGAAAGCTTTAGTAAATATTTCCTTGTGCAAATATTCCAACTCACTTAAAAAAATAAGTGGTGGCATCCTCTTTACGGAAACACTCTTATTCATGATTATGAAAGTGAAAATTGGTCCAGAAGCGCATGCTTTTGTTATCAGACGAGACAACGCCCGGATTGACCGCTCCGAGATACGAGCATCCAGCGCATCAAAGGGGGCCAGAACTGCTCGAATAAAAAACAGAGACACCGAAAATAGTTTTTTCGGAGTCCAGGAAGGTCTGATGTATTCAGCAGGGATGGCAGATTGAATAAATGCAAGTTAAAATATAATTTTATGACTTAGACTGCAAAAATTTTACTTGAAAGTTTAAATGCGTTTTACTCAGATTTACTTGAAATTTTAAGAGAGTCTTCTTTAGGGACTTGTCTATGTCTGGAACTATGGCCATCCCCAAATTTATATCCTTATTATTTCTAAAAAATCGAAAAATGTTCAAAAAAGTGGTACAAATTTTTTTTTCTTTAGACAGTCGCCATTTTGTAAAAAAAATATTGTTGTAACTTTTCCGTTGTTCCAGATATAGCGACATTATTGTAGATTGATGATCTATTTTTTATTTTTTGATTTCAGATTGCTAGGAGAGTTAAAACATATTTTTGAGACGCCCCACTGCATCGGCTGATAACTAACGGAATTTTAATTTTTTTTTAATTTTTTTAATTTGTTTGCATGCTTCATATGTGAATAAATTATGTATAAAAAAGTAAAAATAGTATTGCTTGCTTTTTATTTACAGCATTTCAAAATGACCTAAAATTCATGCCTCTAGACCAGAATACCCACTTAAAAAATATGTGGTGGCACATCCTTTACGGAAACACACTTATTTATGACAAACTAGATTCAAAAGGAGAAAATCATTTGTTATTGCAAACCAAAAAATTGTTCGTTCCATTTCAGAGTTGCATTTATATTTGAACAAATTTCAATCTGTATAAGCTTTCATAAATTTCAAATTTCGTTGATATAGCTTTATCGTCAAATAGACATTTTATTATAAAAAATCAAGGTTTCGCAATGATGTTTGAATTTCCATTGGCATACAAATCGCTGTCCCATAAACACAGTCATAGAAATATGTGACCTGAACGCAAAATTCAAAAGTGTCTTAGCAGATAAATCAGAAACTCCTGTAATGCACATTTATTTTGCATCAATAAACGTCGACATATGCAATGCTGAAATTTGAAAGTCGAGTTGATTGAGTTGCAACAGAGCGACACTGCCAATGTTATCCTCACCCGTGTTGGTAACTGTCAAAGTTGTTGGTGCTGATATGTGTGGGGTAAAAACGCAAAATTCTTTGCAAAATAAAATATCTAAAACTTACTTCTTGTTAAATTATTTTTCGCAAGGAATAAATTTCGCAAAGGAGGTACTTGATTGAAATTGTGTTGGATTTATCATTTCGCAATTAAGTGGTTTGCTATATCTTTGAATTTTAATTGGCAAGGTTATGGTCAAATAATAGATACAGTAGCTGATTCGGGTTACCAGTCAACACCGTATGTTTAAAATTTTCTCCTTTGCTTTCACTGAAAGATAGAGTTCTAACCACGCAATTCATTCCTTCTTGTGCTGCTCCTTAATTTAGACTTTATTTTCTACAGTTGGACAGAAGAGACCAACATTACCGATGATGAAGTTCAAAGTTGAGTATAATTATTAGTTCAAGCAACTATAACGGAGATATTATCCATCATGAATCATTCAAGGTACAAAAGATTTGCTCTAACTAGAATGAACTTGCTGAAAACGCCATAGGTGAAATAGAAACAGCCTGTGATTTCGTTGCTTCAATCCAGAGGAGAAAGCATTAATTTGTTTACATCCCAAGCGCAACATTTTAATTTGTAAGAACATATACGTTCTTACAATATGTAGAAAATATTGTCGCTTATAATTGCTAAAAATTTCAAATGCCATTTCATTGCTTATTTAATGAAAAAGCGATTATTTTGACAATTGTTTTCAAGAGAATAAAATCTATGGTTGAAAACGATCGATAAAACTGGTACAATGAAATTGAATGAGAATACGATGCTTATGAAAGAGACTATACCAGCGTCCAATTTTACTTATTTTCCGATTTATTTTATGACACACTCACACACATGCATTCAACGGAAACATGGTCAAAATTAATTTTGAAGTTGATTGAATCCCACATTAATGTTATAATGATCTAAAATTGTGGGTAATCTTTGGTAAGTGGTTGAGTAACTTTCGGTAATTTGCTCAATTTCTCCTCGTTTAGTGTTGTCTTCGATGAATAAATGGACTATGATATTTAACTAATAATAATTTAATTCTTTTGAGTGAATGTAGAAGTAGTGGGTCTAAAATATTTAGTTATTGAAATATGTTTTCTCATCTGTTATTAACGAAGCATAATTCAAGACTGAATACGTGAAATTGATGAACAGTTGGAATAAAATATTACTATATGTTAGGACGTTGTTAAGGTGAATTTTTGATTAAAAGTAGATCAAACCGAATGATTGCTACTTTCAATCACTGAGATGCATCAATACGTTGTTGGGAGGCCAGTGCCATCAATACTTGTGCAGAAACGGGAGATTTGTTTTGACAATTCACTTCATACTTGGAGCGCCATCACAACTTTACTTATTTAAATGAAATAAGTAGCAGATATTCAACAGAATTGAATCGATATGTCCTGTAAAAATGCATATAAGACAACTTGAAGTAGAGTGATGGTGAACAGATCAGGAGTGATTTTAGGAAAATGGATTCAGTATACTAAGAAAACTTTCTACCACACATGATACAATTTAAAATAGTCAATAATGATTCCTAGTAAAGGCAAGAGCAGCAGGCGGATAATGCGTCTTATTGGGTGGATCGTAAATCCTAGACACATCGCCTTAACTGAGGTATTTTAGCACTGGTCAGTTTGTCTTAAAACGATTCGAAATTACATACTATTAATCATTTAAGTGAATATCAAGCTTATAAGTGCAAAGAAAACTATTCCCCTAGGCATGACGAAACACTATCGAGTGTTTTGGTCTAAACACCTTGAGGAACTGAAAAGAAAGCGGGACGCT